AGCCGCGCGCCCCCGGGCCCCGGGCCGCCCGTGTCACCCTTCGCTTCTCCCTTCCTTTGCTGTCCCCTCCTCGCCTGTCCGCCGTCCGCGGCGGTCTGCAGTCGCCGCGGTCGGGATGAGATCCTGACGCCCCCGGGATTTCAGAGGAATGTGCAAAACCAGTCTCCTCGCCAACTCAGCGTTGCGCTCTCACTTCATCTCAGTCTTTCTAGAACTGCCCCACAGTTGCATCAAAGCCATTTATTAATGTATATGGTGTCAGTAGGAATTTATTTTAGAAACGAGGAAGTAAGAGAAGGGGAAAACGATGGGTTAATGTAGCTTGCCAACATTTTTAGTATTTTGTGTACTGGAAGATAAGTCGTTTGTGCGTGTTTGCAGTGTATTTAGTGATCCTAGTTTGATTAGGTTAATAGCAAGGAGAACAGTGCCTAATATTGCCTTGCAAGATGATGAGTAGTGATTTAGAAATAGTGTCCACTTCATAAATAGTTTTCCACTAACGAATTCTACTAGCAGGAATTCCAGGTCTGACTCATGGGAGGAGCGAAGATTTAGAAAGGTTCCCAGCAGCAAAGAGCTGGGCAGGGATAACATTCCTAGGTACTGTGTTGTCTTAAGCTTAAGAAGAAATTGGTCAGCTCTTTAGGAGCAACGTTAGGGGAATAACCTGTCTGTCTCGGAGTTTTGATCCAGGTTTTCCAAGCTTTTTTTTTTTTTTTAAGACATATTCTGACACTAGGTGGACATAAGGCATTTTTACCTGAATTGCATATATGCGTGCAATGAAGGATATATAGTGTTGAAGTAACAAAATAAGGAGCTAAATGTTAAATTGAGGTGAGTTATGAGAGGGAGGCTGGATACTAAATTAAAACTGTTGTGTTAAATCTCTCTCCAACTTTTATTTATAAAACTTCAAATCCACATGGAAAACAAATTATATGGTGAAAATTCCCGGGGCGGGGGTGGGGCAGGTGGTCACCAAGTGTTAATCTTTCTCCACACTTGCTTTCTCACTCTATCTACACACACAGGTATATGTGCTTTATTTTTTCTTAACTGTTGATTTTATTTTTAAAAACAAAAATGTACTTTAATTTCTTGTGATATTTAAAAGTATTTGTTATCTTGGGAAAATGTGCTGTCAGTCTTGCAGGTACTCCCATACTATACTTATGTTTAGGAATCCTATATTTTCCTTCATTGGGCAAAGTTGTCCTAACTTCTGTAAACTAATAATGCATTCCAATGAAGAAATACAATCCTCAAATTTGTCTGTGGCTCCAAAAGAGAATGTTACAAACATAACTGTATTTTAAAGAAAACTAGCCTTTCTAGGAATTTTTAGTTAATTTGTATGCATTTTGTGAAGTGTTGTGAACCTCAGGTTAGATTTAATCTAGGAGAAACCAGGGCATCAGGGGGCAGCCCTTAGGTGAAGAGGCTCCATTTTCTTAGGTATTGACATAGAATTCTGGAAAATTGGTTCCAGAAAAAAAGCTAAGACCCACTCTGATATCAAAGATGTGGATTTTGGATAATTTCCCAAACCTCTCCATTGCTTCTGTAGACTAGATTTAGAGTGAGAGAGAAAGATGAATTTAGAGACCATGAGTAACGTGATTTTTCCCAAAAGTATGTACGGCTCATATTTTGCTTTATTGGGCACCTTGTGGGCAACTAATCTGTAACTTTTTTTGGAAGATCACAGGATAAATTTCTTTTAAACAACTCCATGTTTTAGTGCTTGTATTAAGTCCAGTTATGGTTATCCCTGCTGAGAAGCTTATAGGGCCATTTCTCAGCTCCTGGTTACTTCCTCATTTCTATTTTTCCATATTTCCCAGAAATTTCACTTGTTTCCTAATTTTTCTTTTTTTAAATTGGCTATGGAGGGGCGCCTGGCTGGCTCAGTTGGTAGAGCGTGCGACTCTTGATCTGAGGGTCATGAGTTCAAGCCCCAGGTTGGGTGTGGAGCTTACTTAGTTAAAAAATAATAAGTAAATAATGGAGGTAAGAGTGGATGATGAGTGTAAGGCCTGAAAATAAAACATAAGTGATATTTCTTTTTCTTAAAGATTTATTTATTTATTTTAGAGAAAGAGTGGGGGGGGCAGTCAGGCAGAAGGAGTGAGAGAATCCAGACTCTTCACTGAGCTAGAGCCCGCTGTGAGGCTCCATGCCAGGACCCTGAGATCATGACCTGAGCAGAAACCAACAGTTGGCCACCCAACCAACTGAGCCACCCAGATTCCCCATAAGTAATCTTTTTAAGTGTTGTTCTGCTCTAAACCTTATTCTGTTTCTCCCTTTTCTTACAGGGAATAATTTTTATGATTGTGTGTGTATACATTATTTTTTTGTTTCTACCTGCTAATAAAGTTTCCTAGCATGTGCTGCTTTCTTACCATGGAACTCATACTGGTTTCATCTTCCAGCTATCACCAACAAAGCTGTCCTGAACATCCTATTATCATTCAGTGTGAAAATATCTGTAATGCTTATCTAAGGGCAATATTGCTGGGTCATAAATACAGGCATACTTGAGCAAGTGCTGCTAGATTTTTTTTCCGAAATAGCCACACCCCTGTCTGTACCCCATCACTAGCGGCAGAGGATTTTTACATCCTCACATCCCTACTAACTCTTCTGTAGTCAAATTTCTAATTTTTTCTATACACACATCAACATGCACAGTATAGAGTTATAGTTATTTGTTTTAAATTGCATTTTGGGGGGTGATTTGAATTTGAGCATTTCTTCATATCCTTGGCTGTTTTGCTTTTCTATCATGTGAATTTCCTTTTCCTATGCTTTACTTTTGTAATATGTCCTGACTTTTTTGAGGTTATCAACTTGCAGGAATTTATTGTCTAATATTCTAGTTATTATTCCCTTGTCACTTTTGAATATTGGAAATACATTTTTCCACTCTGTAGCCTGTCTATTGAACATAGATCTTAATTTTTATGTAATGAAATCCATCAGTTTTTGTCCTTGGAGCTTATATGTTTGGAATTTTGTTCAAGAAATCCTTTTCTATCCTTAGACTGCGAAAAAATTCCCCACCATTTTCTTCTATTAGCTTTATAGTTTTACCTTTCATGCTTAAGCCTTGAAGGCATCTGGAGCCAGTTTTATCTGATGTGTGATAGCACTTATAGCTTTTATTTTTTCAACACATATTAATGGAATTCCAACTAAGGTAAGGCACCATTTTAAGTACTTTGTATACATCTATAAACAAATACCCTTAAGTTGTCCTGTAAGGTAGGTCCCTACTGGGTCATCAGTTGTTTTGCAGTAGTTCTCAGTATGAATTCCACAATTTTATACATAGCATCAGTTAAGGGATAGGCTTTACTGGGGAAAGGGAAGATTTAAATAGTCCAAAGTCAACAAGAAAAGTCCTTAATCCTTTCATCATCCAAAATAAAAGTCTGCTGGGGCCTAGGCAGTCTGCTGCGTGTGCATGTTGTGTATCCACCCCCATCCCCTTACTGTTCTTCCTTTTTATAGGGCAGGTGTGAGAGCAACCTTGATAATGTGGGGAAAATCTGACCATTTGATACCAGACAGTCTAGATTTAGGTGCCAGCTGTTTAGAGACTAACTTGTCAGAAAACCTGCTCCTCAGCTGCTGGACACTGTGGGACCTAAGGAGAGTTACAGCCCTTCTAAAGTGGGAAAGAAGATAGTTTTCTAGTACTACTGTGTGACAAATTACTATACATTTAGTGGCTTAAATATACCATCAATTAATTATATACAGTTCTGGAAATCAAGTGTGAAATAGGTCTTTCTGGCCTAAAATCAGATATTAGCAGAACTGTGTTTCTTCTAGAGGTTCTAGGAAAGAATTTGTTCCTTTTTTCAGCTTCTAGAGGTTGCCTGTGTTCTTGGCTTGTGGCTCCTTCCCTCCATCTTCAAAGCCAGTCACAGCCAGTTAAATCTTTCTAGCTTTGAATCACTCTGGATCTCTTCAGATTCCCTCTTCCATTTTTAAGGACTCTTGTGATTTTTGTTGGATCCAGCTAGATAACCCTGGATAATCTCTATTTTAAGATCGGCTGGTTAGTAACCCTAATTGCCCTCTGCCATGTAACTTCATATATTCACAAGTTTTGGGTTATTGTGCCTTCCAGAGAGTTTGGTCCCTAGAGAAATTGAGACCTGGCAAAACTCCTCCTATTTCAGGAAGCTGGCAAAGTCCGTAATCTAGACAAAACAATTTTAAGTTCCTGAAGTCACTCTTGGACAATTTGGGTCTTTGTGCTTTGATGATAATAGAACAGAGGAAAAAAGATAATGAATGCAGAAATTAATGATAAAGTATGTTAGAGGGACAGGTGCTATGGACAAGAAGAAAGAGTAAACGGGTAAAGAGGAGGCCGATTACAGAATTAAATGGGGTGGTCAGGGTATATATACCTCACTGGGAGAAGGAGATTTGAGCAGACATCAAAGAGGTGAGGGATTTAGCCAGGAGGACAGCTGAGGGAAGTAGGTGCCAGGCAGACCCATCAGCAAGACCAAAGGCTTGGCAGGAAGATGCAAGGACTAGCAAGGAGGCTGGTGTAGGAGTGGAAGTCAGGGCAGTAATGGGTTGGGGGATAGATCTCTTAGGGCCTTGCTGGCCACTGTGAAGTCTTTAGATATTACTGTGACTGATAATGATCAAAAGAGCACTATGCTGTAACTTCAGTTTTAAAAAGGATCGCACTGGCTGTTCTATTGACTGAGAATGGACTTTGGTGGGGACAGAGGCACAGAAATAGGAAAACCTGTTAGCGGAGGCCGTGGCGGTATTCCAGGTTAGAGACAGTGGTGGTTCTCGCAATATAGAGCCTATCTTTGAACAAACCACAGTTCAGCCTCACCTAGAATGATGTGTAGTTAGGTTGTTGCACCTAAGGTATGACGTGGAGCCAAATGCAGCCGAGCCTCACTAGCCTCTGGAGAGTTTTCATATGAGGGTAGACTCAAGATTGTTCTGTTGTAAAGATTATAAAGCATTTAAATGCTTGTGCCTGGTGCTCAGGAAATAGTGATTATTATTATTAGGAATGAATATTGGAAGTCTTCATTTTGTCAAATCTTGTAAGTGGGAGACTCCTTTGCAAATAATAGAATACCAGATATAAGTCAAAGAGTCAGAGGCACTTAGAAAACTCTACTCTGGACTGAGACAATATATGGAGTCTAAAGACAAATTCATTGACCAACAACGAGAAGGAACAACCTGGAACTTAACAGCATTAATACCTCAGAAATGGCCACAAAGAAATACCAATATACACAGCTGTTTTTTGCATTATTTAGTATTTTAAAAATTGTAATGATTTTGTATCAATGGTAGTTTAAAGCAGCAGGTAATTTTACATGAGAGAATCAAAAACTGAAATTACTGGTTTAAAATATATAAAACTACATCTAAAAAATAAAAAAAATTCTAATGTGTAATCAGGGCAATATAAGCATATCTATAATTTGTTACTTTATTTTGCTGTTTTAAAATATTGTGCTGCCTTTATAAGATGTAATTTGTAACAAATACCAGCTCTGATTAACTTTATGTCACTTTATTATTACAATGCTTTGCAGTAAATTTTGCTACTAAAATACACCTTTTAGCTGAACAACTATAATTCATCTCCGTGTTAATTTTTAAGGTGCAGGTTTGAATTCATTATTAAGACTGAGTTGCTGTAAAGAATTGACATACCTTTCACTTGATTTTGAAGTAACTCATTGACTTAGAATTTGGGCCAGAAAATATCCCAGTAAATACAATGAAATGATGAAAAAGTCATGTTAGGTTAATGTAAATATCATTTGTGGATTTTCTTTTATATGTAAGATTACTTCCTCTTCTGCTTACCTAACTCTGATTTTATTTAAATTGGATTTCTGCTTTTTGTATAGCATTTCTGTTTGTTCAGATAATTTCAAAATGTCTTAAGTTTTAACTCTTGCAGGACTGAGCTTTTGAAATACTCCAACCATGACTAAAAGAGAAGCAGAGGAGCTGATAGAAATTGAGATTGATGGGACAGAGAAACCAGAGTGCACAGAAGAAAGGTTGGTTTTTTTCCTGCATTTACCACTTTTTATAATTATCAGCATAACTACTTAAAATTAAGAATCAAGTCATAGTTTTGGGGAGACTTTTTTTTTCCAACTGACCTCAGCATTTTGTGGGATAATGTATTGCTTTTTTACCTTTGACTTAATTGCTTTGTAGCTGGGAGGGAAAGACCGTTTTAAAGTAAAGGTAGTAATAAATATAGCTGATAATGATGAAGCAATTGATTGTGATGGTTCCTTCCACTAGGGCACGGTTTGATTCTTTTTCCTTTCCTCAGTGCTGGTTACTTTTATTTCAGAAAGAGTTTAATTCACAAACTGAAATAACTTAACAAATATCTATAAGTAACTGCTATAAACTAGTAGCTGTCAGGAATATATGAATAAATGAGACAGTAACCTGCTCTTACAGAGGCCACATTGTATTTGAGGAGGCATACAGGTATATGGATAATTACGTGCACAGTACTAAGTATATAGTGCAGTGAAAGGTGTTAGTTTTGGGGATAGTAATGGACTATTACTCCATTAAAGAGGTAGAGCGGTGGTAATGAGTTCAGAATCCAGGGACACAGTCTGGGTAAAAGATTTGAGAGTCAAGAAGAAGCTTGAGGAAGATGATGGCTAGTGGTCCTTATGTTTCTCTATAAAGCAAGAGATGAGATAATATGTTGAAAGTAAAAGGAACTAAAGAGTAATAGAGGACTTCTGTGGAATAAATGAAGGTTTAGAACAACTCTGTTGAATGGACAAAATCACTAAGGTTGCCAGGGATGCTGAGTGTTGAGAGTCGAGCTGAGATTTAAAACCTTAAATTTTTAATAGAACTTTTCAACATGTTTGAGTATGCTCTTTTCTCCTCTCAATTATCAGATACATATATGTATGTGTGCATGTGTGTTTATACATACATATGTGGATATATTTATTTTTATGTATACACAAATGGCCCACATATCCTAAAGTGTTTACTGTTTGGCCCTTTACAGAAAATCTTTGCAGATGCCTCATGTAAGAAATTGATAGTTACTATGTTAACCTGGGGAGTAGCCGTAAAAGAGCATTTGCTGCTATGAAGCTGCACTACATAGTTGTTGTGCAGGAATTTAGGTCCAGTGATGTGAGATCATCCAGTTTTTCGGGAGAAATTCAGATTTTTGCATGAAGTTTCCCAGGGTTTAAATGGTGACAGCACAATATTTAAACATTTTTTAAATGTTGAGCTCACATAAAATAGGTCTTTACCAATCTAAAGGTGACATTTCTTTTAAAGAATGATTGTTACAGAAAAAGAAAATTACAGCCTATTTTACTGTCACTAAAGAATTTGGTAGAAATACTTAGCCAAAAGACCCAATTAATTTACCTTAACAAAAATAATAGTAATAATAGTTTACTATCATTTAAAAATAATCTTTGTTTTAATGAATGGTCTACTATAAATTTTTAAAGTATTAGAAGAAATTTAGGCTATATACATTTATTGAATATGATGCATATATCGCATTATACTTGGAATTTATGTGAAAATGGAACTTGACAAATTTTTAAATACATGATGCTGTCTTTGACAACTACAAATGAGAATTAAATCATATTAAAAGTAAACATGGTGTGAAACTTAATTGAATTCCATATTCACCGATTTATAGATACTTGAGTCTGTTTTCTCTTTGATTTCATATAAGGATTTGAAAAAAAGAATTATTTGCCAAAGATTTTACCCTCAAGGCACTCATGATTTCATAGAATTCAAAGTATGAAATAACAATATAAAAGAACTTCAGAGTTTTAAAGCAGGAATGTATTTTTTTTAATGTGGACTTATACTGATTATAACCAGTAGATCTCAAATTAAATGGAAAGTATTTTATATAACTTATATTTTCATGCCTTATTATGTACATTTATTTATGTTGGGAAAGGAAATTGACTAGTAGAGATGGCATACAAATTTTGAGGGGACTTTTATTTTCCATTCTAAAATTTTTCAAAATAAGTTGAAAATGTAGTATTTTTGTTTCCCTGTAAATATTGTATATGCAATATTTATATGTATATATATACACTTAGCTACATATATATATATCTAAGGAGATTTGTTTGCAGGGGTGCTTTAAATTTCATGCTAGCATTTCTCTGCAATTTAGTATTCAGTTTGGCAACACTAGTTGGTGATAAGCCTACCACTATGAATAGTGTCTATGCAGAAATGAGTTTCAAAAACCAGACTTTAATATCCAGGGTAGAAATATTTGTTAACCATTATATCCTTTAACTTTATTAGTATTGTAGAACAAGCCTACACCCCAGCTGAATGTGTAAGCCAGGCTATAGACATCAATGAGCCAATAGGCAATTTAAAGAAACTACTAGAACCAAGACTACAGTGTTCTTTGGATGCTCATGAAATTTGCCTGCAAGATATCCAGGTAATTTGTTTTCTTTTGAGATTTATATTTCAGCATTTAAGTCTGCATTGGAATTTTTTTTTTTTTAAGATTTTATTTTTAAGTAATCTCTACACCTGATGTGGGGCTGGAACTTACAACCCCCAGGGCAAGAGTCACATGCTCGACCAGCTGAGCCAGCCAGGCACCCAGAAATATTTTTTTGTTAGCCTTTTATCTCTATAGCTGTAGTCTTTATAACTAAATTTGACCTGTATTACAAAATTTAAGCATTTAAAAATAAAAGTTCTTCCAGCAAAATTCCCTCCATTTAAAATTGTATCTAAAAGATTGAGTACTAGCGGCAGCTGGGTGGCTCAGTGGGTTAAGCGTCCGACTCTTGATCTCAGCTCAGGTCTTGATCTCAGGGTCATGAGTTCAAGCCCTGCATCAGGCTCCACACTGGGTGTGTAGCCTACTTAGAAAAAAAAGTCTTGAGTACTAAATTAAACATTTGCTTTTTACTTTGACAAATATGAAATAGGTTTAAATAAATGTGAATCAGAGCCTAAACATAAAGTAGTGAGAAGCACATTGACTTTGGAACTTGGAAGTGTGTCCTCCTCACACTTCATTCCTAACTAGCTTTTAGCTTCTTTGTGCACCAGTGAATTTTGGATAAGAACTTAAACAGCAGTGTATACATTTCTTGGAGTTTATTGCAATAGGATTTTACCTGTGGTAGTATTTTAATAATATACTATGTTTACAGCATATTCATAGTCATGTTTTATAGTATTCTTTCAAGAAAGGTGGTATTTTCATGTATAAAAAGTAGCTTAGATAGAATTGCTCAAAGAATTTCTCTAGACCTTCCTTGAACATATGAGTAAGTACTAGAGTTTATACTGTTTTTTATCCTAACTTATACAAATACATAGTGTGTCTTCTTTTGGATTGTTTGGTTTTCGTGCTCTTTACTTCTCCCCTTTGCCTGCCTTGTGATATAGCTATTCCATATGTTACAGGATTTTTGCCTTTGTTTTTTAAAAATTAAAATCATCATATATGTATTATTTTTAAATAAGATTTTGATGTAGAATAAGTTGAAATGTTTTGATGAAATTTGTGCCTTTCAGTTTCCACTCAACCATATTTTTATCTTTTCCTTTCAGTAAATCTAGTAAATGTTGGGGGGTGGGGGGAGGCGAGGATATTGTTCTTCTAAAATTAAATAATGTATGTGGGTCTAATATTTTTAATAATTTTATGATTTAAAATTTTTCTTCTCTCAAGGAGAGAATAAATTAGCACAATCTTTTTGGAAGATAATCTGGTATTTAGAGTCTATTAATTTTAAATGTGAAATATCTAGTAGTTCACCTCAATAAATTGTTCTTAGAGAAATCCTCACCTAGGTGAGCAAAGTTGTACATCTGAGATGTTCATTGCATGGTTGTGCAGAAACTGAAAATAACTCAAATGTTCCAAAAACGTGGAGTTAGAGAAATAACTTCTGTAGATTGGTATCTAAGGCAGCCATGACAAATTGGTGAACCGGAGCTGTAGGGGCAGTTTACCTTGAACGAAAGAATGTTTGCAGAACACTGCTACATTATCTCATTTAATATTCACATTAGTCTTTGCAATCAGCATATTCTTAAGTACATTCTGCAGATGTAGAACTGAGATTTATAGATAAATAATTTGCCCAGTGCACAGCTACAAAGAGGTACATTGGAATTTGAACCCAGGCCTGTGTGACTTCAAAACTCTTTCTTCAGTTGTTCGAGGCAGACTTCTAAGAAAGTCAGCTCGGCATCACTGAGGCTTCACCTGACTTTCTCACGTGTAAAGTGAAGAGAGATCTGGACTTGATCTCTTACTTACCTTTCAGCTCTAACATTTGTTGCTTTTCTTAGCATACCTGATCTACCCAAAATGAAAATATTACTTGCGAAGTACCCAACGCATCGTAAGTTCTCAGTAAATATTAGTTGAATAAATAGAAATAGCATAGCTCGTTGTATCACAGAATTCCAAGCTAGCCTAGGATGTAAAGCATTTTGCAGTCTTCCCTGTCTCCCTTCCTCTCCTCAAAAAGAATGTGAGATTAACAACTTCTCTTCTTCACGTCAATTAACCACATGCACTTGGAGTCAGAATGCTTGCTGCTTGTGGTGATGCTTTTGTATTTTCATATGAGTGCTGACTTGAAAGCCGATGGAAAGTAGCAGGGTTGTGCTAATTTGAGGAGTATGTGAACTAGCTGGTGTATTCAGTACTACCTGAGAGTTAACTTCCAGATGCCTCCACATGCTGTAGCTTCAAGTAGATCATACCAGTGTCTGTTACAGAGAGGAGAAATCTTGATATTAGGAGAGTTTGTAACAAAGCATCAGGCCTACTTCTTTTAAGAAGTAAAACTACCATGTTTGACCTGTCTTTCTGCATGGTTATACAGTTTGTCTTATCCCTGTCGTTAAACCTAAAGTCATTTAAGATTTAGGTTTTTTTTTTTTTTTGGTTGTTTTTTTTTTAAGATTTTATTTATTTGACAGAGACAAAGCGAAAGAGGGAACACAAGCAGGGGGAGTGGGAGAGGGAGAAGCAGGCTTCCCACTGAGCAGGGAGCCCAATGTGGGGCTCGATCCCAGGACCCTGGGATCATGACCTGAGCTGAAGGCAGATGCTTAACGACTGAGCCACCTAGGCGCCCCTAAGATTTTAGGTTTTATATGACATTTTTAATATTAGAAAACATGTTTGTACCATGATTACAATATTGACTGAATTCTTGGGAATGGGAGTTGGGTGGAGCTTTGTACCTCGCGCTGCGTGAAATGCAGACACAGATATATACATTATTCAGGATAATTGCAATGCAAGTTTACTTTTAAAATGGTGACAGACAATGTCTAAAAGTGTCATCAGGTTGCTGTTGCGTGAAATGCATTCACTGTAAGGGAGATATGGAGGATAAAAACACTGATACTAAAAAAAAAAACATACTGAAAAGATAGAGGATTATGCTTGAAGATATCAAAGCTAGGTTAAGTAGTAAGGTCATAAGTCCTTTAACTTTTTTAACTTCATTACAAGAGATTTATTTATTTATTTATTTATTTATTTATTTTTAAAGATTTTATTTATTTATTCATGAGAGACAGAGAGGGAGAGAGAGAAGCAGGCTCCCAAGGAGCAGGGAGCCCGATGTGGGACTCGATCCCAGGACCCTGGGATCATGACCTGAGCCGAAGGCAGACGCTTAACCATCTGAGCCACCCAGGCGCCCCAATTACAAGAGATTTAGAGTTAACCTTGATCTTAAATGTGTGGCATGGTTAGGTTATAAGGGGGACATGGCAAAAATTATGTTAATAGATTTATATAAATCTCCCCACTAATTAAACACCCTTGCTTATTCATGACAGATAAATTGCATTATCTTCTGCTTAAAATATATTTACAGAATAAACAGTTGCCTTTTGGCATTATTTAAAATCCTAGACTCCAGAGCTAGAGAAAACCACCACCTCAAATAAATCTGGTTAATTTATGTTGTCCTTAGTTACTACCACAGTGGTTAAAATATGTTTAGTTTTGGCAAAGAATTATAAGATATGACAACTTGGATAATTAGATGTGTTCTTATAATTTCATTAGTATGCCTCAGTAATTAAGTCTTGTTTGGTACATCCATTTGTATTAAACCTGATGACTAAACCAAAGTAATCTTAATCATTTTCTCATGTTTAGCTGGATCCAGAACGAAGTTTATTTGACCAAGGAGTAAAAACAGATGGAACTGTACAACTTAGTGTACAGGTAATTTCTTACCAAGGTAAGCAACTTTTATAGTTACTTAAAAGTTTAGCTCATGTTTTTTAAAATACGGGAGAACTCAGTTTTACAAGGTCAGGGTGTTTTAGGTGGTTGTCTAAATTACTTAATGTGTTGTTGTAGCCAAACACTCATGCTTTTGGTTTAATAATTATATCTGTCAGGGTGAAGCAGGTAGTATAACGTATTCTTTTTTTCTTTCTTTTTTTTTTTAAGTATAACATATTCTAGTTTTTTCAGGGAAGGATATATTGTAAGGTAGAAAGAGCTGGAAGAGCAGGTTCTGGTTGACTTTCTCAGAATGCCTTAGCCACACTGCAGAACTGGATTGCCAAGGAAGCTGTTGCCCTGCCATGATCTGGAAAATGCCAGATCTGAAAGCCACCATGATAGCTGTCAACTTAGAACCCCTCTGCCTTCACAGTGATCACACTAGCCAAAAAATGGGTTCCATGTGCCTACTTGTCCCTTCTTAACTTGTTTCCAGATAGAAGGCTTATGCCAGTGATTTGGGAGCCAGAATCCCAACTGGAACCCTCGCCACAAGGAAATCTATTCCCTACAGTTTAGCACAGAGAGAGGAATTTGCAAAAGATGTTGAGTGACTCAGTCAGCCATATCCATCACAGTATTTTACTAATCTTGTGTAAGTGCAAAAGTTAGAGAATTAGGAAACCATATTTGGTAGGTTGAATTTTAGTTTTTGTGGCTTGTTAGGTGTTCTGACCAGAGTTTTACACTAATTTTAATGTTTGAACATATTATATTGCTTACAGTTGCATTTCACAAATCATACTTCTCTCAACTATAAAAATGGTAGTTACCCCTTCCGATCTACAATTTCCCCAGTATTATCATTGACAATAAGAAAGAAATTCTTTGTTTTATCTTTAAAAGCCTAGTCACCTCTCAGTGTAAGTGGATTTGGGAAGAGCTGACTTGTTGAAATTTGAGTGGAGGATTAGGGAATAAAGCTTAGAGAAAAAATTTTTTTAAAGTTAGTTATTTTTCTCATGTATATTTGGAAAAGGGACTTATCTTTATACCATATAATGAATGATAGCAATACATTTTATTATAGAGTTGGTTTTCAGGGAGGATTGAAGTTGAGTTTTAATCTTTCAAATACACTTTGATTAAATTTGATGCAGATTTTAACAGAATCAATGACCAAACAGTAGCTGTTAAGTAATAATGATAGTTTTTTTAGAGCTGTCATTGTAACAGAACTATCTGAGATGATTTTATGAAGAGCTAGTTTATTTGTTTTGAATATCTTAAGAATTTTGGGTTTTTTTTTTTCATTCAACTGAAAATGGAAATCAGAAGTTAATGTGAACTTAATTTTACAAACTCAGTGCCTATTCATTTTTAAACATGTACTTTGACCTTTGAAAAGAAAAGCAATCAGTAAATAATTTTAATTTGCTTAGAAGGACTTTTAAAAATTCTACAGGTGGGTAGCTACTCATTTATACTTTCCTTAGTCTAGTTTTTATTTTCTAACCCATATTGGTACTTTTTTTCTAACAAATGTTTATATGTAGCTGTGTGTGGTGGTGGTGGTGGTGTTTTTATATCCTTTTAGACTTACAGAAAAGTTGCAAGAGTAGTAAGAGAACTCCTGGATGTCCTTTACTCAGATTCTCCAAATGTTAACTTTTATTACATTTGCTTTATTCTCCATCCACCCGTCCCCACATTATTTTTTTTTTTGCCCAGTTGAAGAATAAGTTGCAGACATGATTTCCTTCTATCCCTAAATGCATCAGTGTATGTGTTTTCTAAAAACAAGGAATTCTTTTATATGACATTACAGTTATCAAAATCAGGGAATTAATATTAATACAATACTGTTATCTACTGAAGTACTAGTGAATAATTGTATTTGCGTCTAAAAGAGAGCATTTGCTCTACCATTTGAGAACATATAAACTAAGCTAAATTTTATTTTTTAGTGACTTTTGTGTTTTCATTTAAATTTACTTTTTTTTTTCCACTCTTAAGGAATTGAACCTAAGCTAAACATCCTTGAAATTGTTAAACCTGCGGAAACAGTTGAAGTAGTCATTGATCCAGATGCCCATCATGCTGAAGCAGAAGCACATCTTGTTGAGGAGGCTCAAGTAATAACTCTTGATGGCACAAAACACATTACAACTATTTCAGACGAAACCTCAGAACAAGTGACAAGATGGGCTGCCGCTCTGGAAGGTTATAGGAAAGAGCAGGAACGCCTTGGGATACCTTATGGTAATAAAATACTTAATTACATGTTAGTAGAACAATAAGAATTAAGCTTGACATAGAAGACACTAGGGTGAGTAAGTTATAATCTATTTTAAATGAAAAATTTTTAGGAAGAATGTTGATTTTCTGTATCTCTCTTTTTATCCCCTTTGGACAAATATTGTCCCGGGTGCTAGGAATACAAAGAAATTAAAAAAAAAAAAAAATTCTGTCTTTAGGGTGTTCATAGTGGAGTTGAAGAGAGAGAAGATAAATGAAAAGAGAGAATTACCATTAAAAGTAGCATGGTTTTAAGCTGTCAGTAACTTATATAAAGGGAATATGCTATTAGGATCTCAGAGATCGGGGCACCTGGGTGGCTCAGTCAGTTGAGCATCCGACTTTTGACCTTTGCTCAGGTCATGATCTCAGGGTCCTGGGATCAAGCCCCAAGTCGGGCTCCATGCGTCAGCGTGGAGTCTGCTGCTCTCCCTCTTCCTCTGCCCCTCCCCCACTAAAATAAATAAATCTTAAAAAAAAAAATCTCAAAGGGATTGCAGTGGCCTGGGGGAACATTGGGAAAAGGTTTATTATTATAGACAAACTATTGAGCAGAGGACAGTCCATTTAGGAAATGTATGTGCAAAAGTTAGACACGGGAGTGAGTATGCAGGAGTAGCAAGAAGATTTGGTGGAGTTACTCTCTAGTATTATAGAACTGCTTTTGATTGATGGACATGACCATGGGAGATGAATATGGCAGCAGTATATGACATACGTTGGAGCAGGTAGAGACTGAATGAAGGGAAAACAGGAGCATGTTATAGTTGATCTCTGACTAGGTGATAATGTCTAGGTTAGCCTAGACTTGATAATTTGTGTGGGAAGAGTTGAATGAAACCAGCGATGGGGCTGAGCAACTGACTGATGGATTATGTGAGAGAGAGGAAAGATTCGAGTACTGATGCAACTTCTCAAGCTTGGGTGACTAGGGCAATGATTATACTAATGAGACCTGGTTACATCTTCATTACATATTTAGTGAACTACCTATGCCAGGCATCAGTGTTAAACACTGGACTTTCAATTGCACATAAGAAAGATAGGCCATGCCCTCCAGCGCTTAAGTGGGGGAGGTGGGGAAGTCTGGTATTGGAAAGATTTTTCAAGGGAAAATGTTGGTAGTACTTCATTTTGAAGTGATAGTACATATTTCAGCTGAAGGTAGCCAGAACGTATTTTCAGGTACACAAGATTTGGGCTGGAGATAAAGATGTTTTCTGGGACTTAGCTGTGTTGAGTTTGTATTGAAGCTGTACAAGCATATACAGTCTCTGATGGAGAGAGATAAAATGGAAAAGAACACAACGTTAAAGGCTGGACCTTGTCGGCATTTCAGGTTGAGGAAAAGGAATGGAGACGTGGAATAGCTGAAGAGATAGAAGGAAAATAAGAAAAAAGAGTTTTAGATGGACAAGAGTGGTCACATCGCTGACAAAGTAAAAAAAAATGCTAACTGAGTAGTATCTATTAAATTTGGAGATCAGAGGCTCATTGGTAGATTTAGAAAAAAAGTAACTGTAAGACAAAGCCTAATTATAGGAAAAAATAGACATTATAGAAGTAGAGAAAACAATATTAACCTTTGGGGGGCAGATGGGAAGAGTGTTGGGGGATAAATATTATTGAAGCTTCATGAGTTGTTAGTAACCTGAGTATTTGTAGATAAAATGGTGTGGCACGAGCAGGAGAAGGATAGATGAAGGAAGCCAGGAGAGGGGCTTTTAATTGGAGCCTAAGAAGGTAAACCCAGTTCGAAGGATCAGATAGAGCCATTCCTCAGGTATGTGGTTGACAATATTGTTACTTATTTTTGACTTGTAAAAGCTAGCATAGATGTCATGCTTGGTCTTATTGTTAGTGAGTTTGAAGTCACCTTTGAGAGGGGAAATGCTGAGAAGGAAAGAAGAGAGCGTAAAAACATTTGAAATATTTTACGTAGTTTACTAGACTTTCAACAAGAACCCTTCAGTAATAGGATTTTTTATGGAGAGTAGTATATAATACTGAATTGTAGAGAGCAAGATTATAAACTCTGACTCAAGAGTAGCTACCAGGGGTATCATTTACTTAGAATAAAGCTCTTTTAAAACACTTGTGGTTTATTTAGGTACAGGAAGACTTTTTAAGTCATTTTTTTTCTGTCATGAAATTGTTAGCAACTGGGAAGTTTTAGAAATTTGATTACTGTTTTCTTAGGAAACTATCATTTCAGGTTTCTGTGTCTGTACCTAAGGGTAGTCATTTTGAAATTGCTTAATTCTCTGCAAAATTGAAATATGGTTAGCTGGTCATAGCTACTTTAAATCTCTTTGAAATATTGATTCACACCGGACAGTTCCCTAAAGTTCATTTTATGCATATCAACTTTGTATCTTGACAGGAGCTTAGAGCCACCTCTTCATATATATACAATCCCTTCACTTTTATATTTTTCCAGGACTCTAATTCTTTTTCCTGCTGATTGATTGATTTTTTTTACTATTTCACATTTAAAAACTACAGATGAAACTCAGTGAATTCAGAGTAGTTAGAAGTCTGGTCAAATGGGAATGTTAAAACTGACTAAAAGTAAAATTAAAGTCAATATTCATTCTTGTCCTTTATTAAACAATATTGAAAAGATGGCTCTGCTTTTTAATTTTTTTTTAATTTTTTATTTTTTAGTCCAAAATTTCACAGATATTTTAAGAAAAAGGACAGAACTAAATTTATTTCCAATGTTGAAAAAAATCATAAATATAGCCAAGTTCAACCACACTACTGACAGAATTGCTACTGAGTTTCAAAAGAGGGCAATGTGTTACCTGTAAAAATGTTGCCTTTATTTATTTATTTTTTTTAAAGATTTTATTTATTTATTTGACAGAGAGAGACACAGCGAGAGCGGGAACACAAGCAGGGGGAGTGGGAGAGGGAGAAGCAGGCTTCCCGTTGAGCAGGGAGCCCGATGTGGGGCTCGATCCCAGGACCCTGGGATCATGACCTGAGCCGAAGGCAGACGCTTAACGACTGAGCCACCCCGGCGCCCCAAAGTTGCTCTTATTTTAAGGTTGATTTTACTTTCCCCTCCCAGGATATCAGTTGTAATGCGAGTTGCGTATTATAGCAGTTTAACGGTTTAGTGAACTACCTATGCCAGGCATCATGTTAAACGCTGGACTTTCAATGGCACATAAGAAAGACAGGCCATGCCCTCTGGCGCTTAAGTGGGGGAGGTGGGGAAGTCTGCTTTTTTATTTTTATTTTTTCTTCCAGTTGTTTGAATAATAAAAAAGAAAGATAAATACTCATGTTTTTGGCTCCCAGAATTGTTAGATATTCACATTTTAAAATACTATATATTCACACAAAAATAAAGTATTACAGAGAGAGTTGATTTGTATGTAACTAGCTCTCCAGTTCCATAGCTGTCCCCCAGTCTCACAGAGAAGCTCTCATTGTGTATCTGTCAAGTCTGGTTTAAAGAAAGTCAGTCTTAGAAAAACAGTTTTCCTTTCTTCAGTCCTACTCCCCACTTGCAACCACTTTCCACCTTACTGCTTTTAATCATTATTAACTTCTTGTTACAGTAGATGAGGTTTAGTTCTCTTATATTGTTTTCCCCTGCAAAGCAAATAGAACCTTATCTTTCCCCATTTTGTGAATATTCTTACATAACTTTTAAGTCATTAGTTATTTGTGTGTATTGTGAGAATTTTTCATATAACCGTGACTGCATTTTTACAGCTTCTGGTTTTCCTGAAGTTCCAAGTTGACTTAATTTTTAGTTTGTGGATTTCTGTATATACCAAGACTGGCTTTCTCCCATTTCCATCACTCTGTAATTTTTCCCAAATTCTCAAGTATTTCTAGATTGGTTTGTAATCTGCCACAGCGCTGTCTGTCATCCTCGGACATCCTTGACTTTCCTCCAGTGCTGGATCCATTTTCCAGGATCTTATATTTTCGTTTTTCCTAGTTTTATTCTCACATTTACTCATTATTCTCTCATTTTTCCTTACAGGTTTCCTTAGAAAGGGCACCTAGGAAATAAAAGTTGTTTTTATTTTTGGTTTGGGGGGGTGTTTTTTGTTTTTTGGTTGTTTGTGGGTTTTTTTTTTTTGGTGGGGGACACTACAAATCTGGAGAATTGACCAAACACCTGACAGGAGTAGAAGGTTGGTCTGAGGATTTAGGGTTGCCATGTATGTGAATGCTGCATTCTAGAAGTGGAAAGGGAAGTGCAAAGGGTCTCACTCTTCAGTTTGTAGACTTTTAGTCCTGGGATCGGTATCCATTTCATGTCTGTCCCAAAAGTTCTGGGATGTAGGGATATGGAAGGGGGTGGGGGGATATGGACATGTGTGTGGGGATGCTTCTGTTCAGTTGGCTCCTGAGAATGAAGGAGAGGCCCTGGAGGTTCTAACCACACCATACACTTTAAATTAGTCCCTCATTTTCCACTTACACCTCTCCTGCTACCTGGAACCAATATTGACATGAGTCAATAAGGGGTTCTGCAGTCAGGAAACGCTTACTTCTTACTGTATCCTCCTTGATAGATATTTTGGGTCATAGCTTCTACTTCACTTGATTTTCACTCTGCTGTCTTTAAAAATTAGTCGAAAATCTTCCGTCCGTTTATCATTTCACTCATGTTCCCATGAGTTTACTTCCTTTAAAAATTCCTTTAGTATCATTTTACTAGGGTCTTAGAGAAATAAGCAGGGAGAATATGCACAGACAATTAGTTATGTTACCCCAGAAGTCCTGATACTATTTAAGAAAACAAATCAGACTGTTTGCATTTGCCCCAACTTTTTTGATCATGACACTTTTTTTTGGTTCATGTTTATGTAAAATGAGGTTACTTGATCTTTTAAAGGGAAGTGTGATTCAGGATAGCTTTTCTAACTTTCTGTAACTCTTTCCTCTGTTATTTTCAAATAGTATTAAAAACAGAGCCAGTAGAGGCACCTGCCTGGCTCAGTCAGAAGAGCCCGTGACTCTTGATCTCGGGGTCGTGAGTTCAAGCCCCACGGTGGGTGTAGAGATTCTTAAATAAATAAAACTTAAAAAAAAACATAGCCCCTGGCTTTCTCAGTTCCTGTCTGTTCCCTTACTCCACTTTCATCTGGACCTCCTCTTTTTCTTTGGTGTTCCTGTGCTACTCAATTTAAATCCCATTCCCTCCAGTTTCTCATTGTGTTCCACTCTCCTGGATGTGATCTGTGGCTCAGTTTGAAAAATCCAAAGGTGGTGCACTGCTCCAGCCCCTTAAACCTTACCATGGACCTTTGTACTCAGCTGCTGTTGGATTGGGCAAAACTATTTGAGCTACTCCTTTGAGCTTGGCCTGTTGTGCTTTCAGTGAAAACTTCTTGGCTGTGTTCAGGTTCTCCTGTGCTCAGAATGAAGAATGGGTCAGATTTCCCTTTGCTTCCCCCTTTGCTTTCTTCTGAATAGATACTGATACCATGAAGGTCTCTGACTGTTACTGCTTTGTCTTCACCTGTGTGTATTTGGCTTCCATGGGGATATATTGTCACCTGGTTTTATTGTAAATGTACATGGATTTTGGGTTTTGTTGTCTTTTGCTTTTAGTGGTTTTTTCTTTAATGTGTACATTCAGAGACATTAAAAAACTTCACTGCCATCTTAGAATCCTTCTCCCTTCTCCTCTTTGTGAAAAGATCAGATAAAAAATCAGTTCTGTGCCTGTGAATCCTGTATTAGTTTGGTTCATCTTTTATTATAAATTGGCTCTTAATAAGTACCTAAATGTCTTTTTCCCACTTATTCCAGTTGAATAGCATGCATCTTGGGGAGCATGTAACCAGTACTATTTAGATAGATCATCTTCTCCATGCAGAAATACCTATACCAAAATTAATTCAGCCAGTTTTTACTAAATTTATATGGGTAGAATACTCCATTAGGTGCCAGGGATACAACAATGAAATGTTTATACATGTTGGTCATCTTTTTCATTTGTGAACTCCATTAGATAGTAAAAAAATGATGAGGAAAATGACTATTTGGATTTACTTATCATAGATTTAACAGATTATGCTATGCATAAGGCATTGTGGTAAACTCCAAAGATACACTGGTTTATAAGACACAGTCCTTATATTTAAGACCTTAATGTATTACAGGGAAAGACAGATGAGTAAACATGCAATTTGCATGTTGTATTATAAGTGCCACTAAAGGGTATATATAGGAGCACCAGGTTTTTATAAGAAGCAGAAGGGAGAAAAGATTATGTTGTGCACATTTTGGAGAATAAGTCTAGCTCCTCAGAACCCCCTTACAGTTTTCTTTCTTTCTTTTTTTTTTTTCCAGTGTACCAAATTAATACACTGCTACAAAGTAATGTTTAAAACTTGGAGAACGTAATCCATTCTCTCCAGAGTAATCCCATATTTTATTCTTTCAGTTGACCCATTGAAGAGCAATTTTACATTGTTTTTCTTGATAAAATTCTAGACTAACTGATGTAAAACCAGGTGAATTCATTAAAAATTTAGATTGAGAACTTGAAAAGGATATGAGGAGAAAATACAGTATTAAAAACCTTTTTGAGTTTGTGAACTCAATTAGATAGTAAAAAAATGATGAGGAAAATGACTATTTGGATTTACTTATCATAGATTAAGTAAATACTTGGGGAAAAAACCTGTCTGGATTTTTCTCCATATGTATGTGTGTATGTATATGTGTATTGACAAATTAACCGTGAATTTATACATATCTGAGATAGAACTAGGCTAATGGTAATATTTTTCTCTTTAGATCCTATACAGTGGTCCACAGACCAAGTCCTGCATTGGGTGGTTTGGGTAATGAAGGAATTCAGCATGACTGATATAGACCTGACCACACTCAACATTTCCGGAAGAGAATTATGCAGTCTCAACCAAGAAGATTTTTTTCAGCGAGTGCCTCGGGGAGAAATTCTGTGGAGTCATCTGGAACTTCTTCGAAAATGTATAAAATTTGAATTGTTATCTATTTGTACTGTAACTTGAATTTAACTTTATTTCTTTATAACTTTGTCTTCATTGTTCATTGTGATCATTGATAATAGCAATAATAATTAACACCTATTAATTGTATAAGGCTGTGCTGGGAGCTTTATAGATATTACCTCATTTAATCCCTCTGCTAATGCCACAAATCATTACTTAACTTATTTTTTAGATAGGATACCATGGCTTAGAGAGCCAGCCCCACAAGGGTACAGGGCTAGGGAACGGCAGAGCCAAGATCCAAAACCAGACTGAAGAACATCAGAATCCAGGCTTTTAAGATGATGTGACCTGCACTTAGCTCTCTCCATAAATTCCAGTCTCGTTGACTTCTGTTTCATCAGTCAGTTCTTTCATTTACTCTTCATCTTCTGGAAATTTAAGATTGTCCACAGATTTCTTCCCTCTTGTTCTTTTCATCATTAATGGAATTAAACCTAAAATTTCTTTTAATTGAATGGGATCTTAAGAGAAAAAGAAGTGTAAGTGTGCAGTCCTCTGTTTTGAAGTCTGCTGGTTATAAGTGTTTCCATGTTGGTTCCACAGACATTATTATTATGATTAAGTGACTATATACAGAAAATAGAAACTACTTGGCTGACCAACAAAAAGCTCAAATAAATTTAAATTATTTTGTTTGAATTTTAATCCATCTTATATATATATATATTTTTTTAAGATTTTATTTATTTGA